CTCCTGACCTCAGGTGATCCACCCACCTCGGCCTCCCAAAGTGCCGGGATTACAGACCATGGCCGGCCAACGCTGTATTCTTATGCATTAGGACTGCATAAGAGTCCTTGTCTTATGACTTTCCTCCCTGTCAAGAGCATCACCTTCTGAACCTTCAGCTGAGGTTTCAGTCATTCGCTCATTCATTCATTCAGAAATACTTGCTGGGTGTCTATCATGGACCAGGACCTTGGAGACACAGAGATGAATAAGGCAGACATGCCCCCTGGCCTCGTGGACCTCACAGGCTAGTGAGAGGGTCTACTTTTCAGATGCAGCTGAGGATGCTATGGGGCAGTGTCCAGCGAGTTAAGATGGGTGATCAGACTGGGAGTCCCACTCAGGAAACAGGGGAGAAAAGATTCTAGACTAGAAGGCAGGAACTGGAACTCCACACCCAGCTTGAGTCAGACAGATGTGGGTTATCAACCTTGAGTATGGATGGGTTTCTTCCTCTGGGTCTTAGTTTTCCCCATCTCTAGAATGAGAAAGTGAGTCTTGACCATTCATTCATTCATTGCACAAATATTTTTGGAGGATTTGCTGTGTGTCAAGATCACAAAAGCCAGTTGGTGCATGGATTTGTGAGTATGAACTCATTAAGAGTGTGATTAAAAATATAGATTCTCAGCTGGGCACAGTGGCTCACGCTTATAATCCCAACACTTTGGGAGGCTGATGTGGGCAGATCACCTGAGGTCAGGAGTTCGAGACCAGCCTGGCTAAGGTGGTGAAACCGTCTCTACTAAAAATACAAAAATAGCTGGGTGTGGTGGCGTGCACCTATAGTCCCAGCTACTCCGGAGGCTGAGGCAGAAGAATAGCTTGAACCTGGGTGGTGGAGGTTGCAGTGAGCCGAGATCATGACACTGCACTCCAGCCTAGGTGACAGGGTGAGACTCCATCTCAAAGAAAAGAAGAAAAAGAAAAAGAAAAAAAAAGAAAAAAAAGAATAAGAAGCTCTAAAATTGGGGCTCTAGTATCTATCTATCTATCTATCTATCTATCTATCTATCTATCTTTTTTGAGAGGGAGTCTCGCTCTGTTGCCCAGGCTGAGGATGAGGGCCAGGGTGAGGCCTGATAATTTTATTTTTATTTATTTATTTATTTATTTATTGAGACAGAGTCTTGCTCTTGTTGCCTAGGCTGGAGTGCAGTGGCATGATCTCTGCTCACCCCAACCTCTGCCTCCCAGTTTCAAGTGATTCTCCTGCCTCAGCCTCCCGAGTAGCTGGGATTACAGGCATGAACCACCACACCTGGCTAATTTTATATTTTTAGTAGAGATGGGGTTTCTCCATGTTGGTCAGGCTGGTCTCAAACTCCCTCCCTCAGGTGATCCGCCCGCCTCGGCCTCCCAGAGTGCTGGGATTACAGGCATGAGCCACCACCCCCAGCCGATAATTTGATTTTTAATACACTCCAAGTGGCCTGATGGTCAGCCAGCCTGGTACACTAAGGTCCTAAGGCCCACCCAATTCTGTCAGATTCAGCTTCTCTGATATCAGAGTACCATGTAGTGCACAAATGGAAAGGATGGATACTTATTTCGATAATGCTGCTACTGCTTGGACCCTCTTTGAGACCTCTCTTCACAGTCACTGACCAGGGAAACTGGTTCAGTTTCCTAATTTTACTGGTTGGAAAATAAAAGGCCAGAAAAGAGGAGAAAATTTTCTCAAGGTCTCTACCAAAAACACAAAAATTAGCCAGGCATGGTGGCAGGCGCCTGTCATCCCAGCTACTCAGGAAGCCCAGGCAGGAGAATCACTTGAACCCAGGAGGTGGAGGTTGCAGTGAGCCGAGATCATGTCACTGCACTCCAGCCTGGGAGACAGAGTGGGACTCCATCTCAAAAAAAAGAAAAATGAAAGAAAATTTCTGGCTTCTTCACTACCTCACAACCACACTCAGTCTTTCTCACTTCAGGCCTTAGCTCTGACTGTTCCTTTTGTCTGGAATCTCTTCTCTCCTGCTTGGCCTGCCCCTCCTTCCTAACCCCATTCGCCAGTCCCCTGTGAAGCCCTTGCACACTCTTCCAGGTGGGGTTGTTCTGGCCTCCCCACACCGCTCCTCCAGCCACTTGCACATGCCTCTTACTGTTCCTTTCACACTACACTATAACTCCCCATTTCCATAAGCTCTCTTCCAGACCATGAGCTTTTGGAGGGCAGAAACTGTGTCTTATTCAACACTTATAAAGTTACTACCCAAGTAGTCCAGTCTTGAAGGGCTGTCCCTAACAAAAGATCACCATCCAAAATATCAAAAGCACTGCAGTTCTTTCTTTTTCTTGGTCAAACAACTTGAAAGGAAGCCACTTCTTAAAGTGTCCCTTGCCCCTCTCATCCCCTTGTGAACTTACACTTTACAGTTGCTCCTTCACCTCTGTCTTCAAAACTGTCCTGAAAAATGCCTTCCCTCTGAAGTCAGCCTCCTGTCCTCACTTCTCTCTCTCTTCCTTTTTTCTCTTCATTCTGGATTTCACCAGGCACAAAGAACCCTCTGGCAAGGCTAAACCCTCCTCAGAAACAAGACAAAAGAGCTAAACAGGTCAAGGCAGAACCCTCTTTAGCAGGAAGAGGAACCAAGTCAATTTGCCTCCAGTACCCAGCCTGCAAAAGTGTCAGTGAGTGAGAGAATTATGTGAGGTAGTGTCATTAGCCTAAATTTTCAAGCAGAGAAACTGAGGCTCAGAAAGGATCACCGATTTTCCTAAGGTGACACAGGGAATTATGGCAGAATTTGTCCCCCACACCTGTCCAAACTATAAACCTCAGCCCCCTCCCAACCATTAGACCATCCCAGCTCTACCTTCCTCAGCCAGGGCCTAGATACCCTCTGAGGATGGGCCTTGGGTCCCTCTCCTGCAGGATAAAAGATGGAGCCAGGAGTCATGCCTGCAGGGCGGCAGTGCCTATGTCATCGTATACTCCATCGCAGACCGAGGCAGCTTTGAGAGTGCCTCTGAGCTCCGCATCCAGCTGCGGCGCACACATCAGGCAGACCATGTGCCCATCATCCTCGTGGGCAACAAGGCGGACTTGGCCCGCTGCCGAGAAGTCTCTGTGGAAGGTGAGCCCTCCATCCCACCCCCTCCTCTTCCCCTGGGCCCCACTGTCATGGCTGCTTCTTCAGCACTCTTCATCTCAGTGACTGTCCCTGCCAAGCTGCCCCTACCCTGCAGCCACTTGCCTAAGCCTGAAAGCTAGGAACCATTCTTGTCTCCCACTCACCACCCCCAAACCAGTCCCCAAGTCCTGTCAGGCCACCTCCGTTAATCCCACATTCCCTTCCCTCTCTGCCTACAGTCTCTGTGCTGTCCTGGCATCTCCACCTTCTCCAGTCCTCCCACTTCTCAATTATTCCTCCTTGCCAGCTGCCAGAATTTTCCAAGACCAGAGCTGAATTTGCACTTCTTAAAAATTCGTGTATGTGGTGGGGCATGGTGGCTCACAACTATAATCCTAGCACTTTGGGAGACCAAGGCGGGAGGACTTACTTGAGCCCAGGAGTTTGAGACCAGCTTTGGCAACACAGCAAGACCCTCTCTCTACAAAAAATAAAAAATAATTTTAACTCTTTTTTTAAAAAAATATTCTAGCCAGGCCCAGTGGCTAACGCCTATAATCCCAGCACTTTGGAAGACTGAGGCAAGTGGATCACTTGAGGTCAGGAGTTCAAGACCAACCTGGCCAACATGGTGAAACCCCATCTTTACTAAAAATACAAAACTTAGTCAGGCATAGTGGTGCACACCAGTAATCCCAGCTACTTGGGCAGCTAATGCATGAGAATTGCTTAAACCCAGGAGGCCGAGGTTGCAGTGAGCCAAGACCACGCCACTGTACTCCAGCCTGGGTGACAGAATGAGACTCTCTCTCAAAAAAATAATAATAGTAATTTCCTCTGTGGCTCCCCTAGCCTCTTAATCAGAGACACTTTATCCACCAGGATGATAGGCCCAGTGCCTACAGGCCTTTCAAGGGCTTACATTTGAGAACTGAAAAGAACCATTACTGGCTCCAAAATATAGTGAAAAAAATTAGAAATTTAAATTTCACAAAGCTTTAATTGTCTGTAAAACATATTTTGTCAGCAAGCAACTACAAACTAAAACTTTAAATGTCATATATGGATTGTATTTACAATGGGATGGGGAATATTTTAATAAGTTTGACATATCAGATGGGGCCCATAACAATTTTTAAATGGTCTTACTCACAGAGTAAAATCTAAAAAATATGTAAACTGAGACCTAGAAAGGAAAAGTCAGTTTCACAGTCACCAGTCCCTGAAGACTAGAACTCGGGCCCAGTGGCATCCTGGAGGTGGAAGACCGTAAGCTTTGTGAACAGACATCCAAAAAAAAAAAACTGCAACATAAGCCCCAGGAGATTTTGTTAAAGCACAGATTTCCAGACCTACAGAATCAGAAACTCTGAGGGTGGGTCCAGGAATCTGCATTTTAACAAGCTCCTCCAGGTAATTCCGATCCACAGCAAATTAGACCCTTTACCTGGCATTCAACCTGACCCCTCCCTGGCCCCAGCCTCTCTGTCTTCCCTCAAAGATCAGTCTGATTTATCTGAGTCCCCAGATAGCAACACGAGGTATGGGCACAGGAAAAATTTCTTCCAATCAAGACTGAACACATCTTTTCCTACCTTTTTCTCCGCCTTCCGGTTATGGCTCCACCCCTGCTCGCCGGGCTCCGCCCCCTCAGAGGGCCGCGCCTGCGCTGTGGTGTTCGACTGTAAATTCATCGAGACCTCCGCCACGCTGCAGCACAATGTGGCTGAGCTCTTCGAGGGCGTGGTGCGCCAACTGCGCTTGCGCCGCCGGGACAGTGCGGCCGAGGAGCCCCCAGCACCCCGACAGCCGGCCAGCCTAGCCCAGCGCGCTCGTCGCTTCCTAGCACGTCTGACAGCCCGCAGCGCACGCCGCCGGGCACTCAAGGCCCGCTCCAAGTCCTGCCACAATCTGGCCGTGCTCTGAAGCCTCCCGCCCCTCTGAGAGTTGGCGGGTCGCTGAGTTGCCTTATGGGTTCCACGGACGCCACTGCGGGACAAAGGTGCCGTTACCTGGAGTCTGCATCCTGTGTCTTGCTTGCCTGCTGCCCTGATGGCCTGAGCATCCCCCAGATCCAAGCCTGGGGGACCCCGGGAAAGCGATGAAGAGACAGACGACGGGGCCGAAGCCCCAAGCTGGACACAAAGTAGTTTTTTACGTGGTGGGTGTTTTTTTGTAAAAAATCTTCCTTGTCCCTGGGCTCTGGCCAACCCTCAGAAACCCTCACAATAAACCAGACCAGAAGGATGTCCCATCTGAATGCCCAGACATCTCTGTCTCGGCTCTTCCAGGCGTCTCCACCTACTGCCCTCCCATCTACACTTGACTGTAGGCTGACTGGTTTAGCCTGCCGGCCTGGGCGTCAGGGCCAATCAATAAAGTACTTGGACCAATTTTGTGCTCAGGCCCTTCTCCCGACAGTGGATCACAACCACAGTTTCGTGACCAGCTACTTTCTCATTAACCCATTTTTTACGTTCTAGATTCACATGTCTGGAAGGACCTCAGTACTCATCCTGGCAATAGAATTGCTGGCGTTTGTTGGGAGCTATGTACTAAGCTGTCGCAACAATTAATCCTCCCAACACCTGGGAGAAAGGTGTTACGATTAACCCCATTTTGCTCATTAGTAAACTGAGGCACAGGACACCGAAGGCTCACCCAAGATCATACAGCTGCTATATGCGAAGTTGCCAGGATTCCAGCCCAGGCTTGTCAGACTCTAGTGACCAACATATCCATTGTCCTCTTTAAAGATGATACAAAACCCTATAGAATCTTGAGAAAATGAATTTAAAAACATAATTAGACATCCAATTTAAACGAGGTTGGGGCAGGAACTCTAAGAAACTCAATCCATTAATCCCCGGGATGGACCCCAGTTTAATCCAACTCACTCATTTCCCGAAGTCAGAAACAAGCCTAGAGAGGGGAGGTGAGCATGCCAGAGTCGCCCAGCCAGGGAGGACTACACCCCAGGACCCAGCCCACTCCTGGGTCTCACTTTGGCTGTGCGGGAGGAAGGAGGTGGTGAGGCATCCAGCCTGGCTGGGGTCAGGGCTGGGTGTTGGGGATCAGGTCAGGAGTTTCCAGCCCGAAAGGAAGGGGTGTCACGGCTTTGAGAAGAAAACAAGACGCAAACCGTTATGACCATCGTGTCCCTGATGCCGGACATCCCTTCCCCCAACTAGCCCAGACGCCAGTCCCAGGGTAAGCGGTGCAGAGAAAGACGGCAGCACCCGCCAGCCAGCCAGCCGCGTCCTCCAGCCGCGACTCCCCGCACCCCAGCCTTCCAACGGGGACGGATGGCACTCAATCCCACACCCCAACCCCAGCCTGGGGAAGGGAAGAGAAGGAAGGTCTTCCCCCACCCCAAGCTGTCTCCGACCTGCGGTCAGGGGGAGGGGCTCTAGCTGTGGAAAGTTGGCAGAGGCAGCCGGCAGCAGCCGGGAGAGTGGAAAAAATGATATCAAACCCGGAAAAATGCAGGCCGGATGGAGGGCCGGAGTGGGCCCTGGGAGGTGAGAGGGCGGGAGGGAAGCGGGGAGGGGGAAGAGCTGAGAAAAGAAGAGGGGCGCGGGAGAGCGTGCAGGAGCTGGCTTTAGAAAACTGAGTACGATCGCCCTCATCCCCTCCTTTCTTCATCTACAAATATTTATTGAGGGCCTACTAAGTGCTGGGCACAGTGCCAGACTCCGGGGAGATGTGGCGAACAGAAAGAGGGAGCTCACTGCTCAGTAGCTCACAGTAGGGTGGGCTGGCAGATTAGAAAACAAATCAGCAAATAAAAGAATCACAAACTGATAGGAGCTGAAAATTAGAGTAGTCAGGGAAGAACCTGAAGATAATCCAGTCCAATCCCCCAGCCTCAGATGGGAAAACTGAGGGCCAGAGAGAGAGAGCGCTTACCCCAGGCCACTCAGAATGTGGAAGAAATACTTGAGAACGGGATAGGGGAGGAAAGGGGGAGGGAAGAAAGAACTGGTGCAGACCAAGATGGGGAGGTGGGAGGTGTTGAGGGAAGGAAAGTTATGCAACCAGCACAGCAAGATGGCAGGGTGATTGAAGACATTGCCCTGAACCAGGGGGTGTGCGTTCAAACCTTGCTCCCCTCCATCTCTCTGTGCCTTAGTTTCTCCATCTATAAAACGGAATTCATGACAATTCTTTCATTTAGGATCGATGTGAGGATTAAATGATTCAAGTTGTGTAAAATGCTTTACACACTTCCTGTGTCTAAGAAGATTCAATAAATGTGGGCTCCCGCTAGCATATCTTTTTTTTTTTTTTTTTTTTTTTTAAACAGGGTCTCACTCTGTCTGTTGCCCAGGCTGGAATGCAGTGGTGCAATCACAGCTCGCTGCAGCCTCCGCCTCCCAGGCTCAAGCCATCTTCCCACCTCAGCCCCCCAAGTAGCTGGGACTACAGGCACATGCCATTATGCCCAGCTAATTTTTTCTTTTTCTTTTTTTTTTTAGAGAAGACAAAGTTTTGCTGTGTTGCCCATGATGGTCTCAAATTCCTGAGCTCAAGAGATCCTCCCGCCTCAACATCCCAAGGTGCTGAGATTTCAGGCATGAGCCACTGGGTCCCACTCTGCTATCCTATCTTAAGGCCTTGCAGAAACCAGGATATGTTATGGGCAAGATATTCTGAGACTGTGAAGACCTGCTTATGAGTCTTTGCCTGGCATATGTATTCACATGTTTTTGTCTGTCTGCCCCACAGGAATGAAAGCTCCTTGAGGGAAGGGCCCTCAGTGCTGCTCTGACCCCAGCACCTACAACACTGCCTGGCTCATAGTAGGTGCTCAGTAAATATTTGTTGAATGGATTAATTCATTATCCATTAATAGATACCCATTAATTCATTATCCATTACCTGTAAAGTTGCCCTTCCAATCCTGTCCTCTCTGATTCTAGGTGTCTGTGAATAAGGAATGGCTGGGAAAGCATGTGAGAAAACCACACTCTCCCTCAGCCTATTATAGTTTAAAAAGTACTTTCTCGTCCATAAAAACAAAACAAAACAAAAAAAATAACTAACTTCGTTTTAACTCTCTGTGTTAGTGTTGGGCCCCATGCTACATGCTGGGTACACGTTTTCTCACGTGCTCACCACCACAACCCTCTACTTAATAGGTACTGTTTAATACATGAGGACACAGAGGCCAGGAGAACCCAAGAATCTCTGCAAGGCTACACAGCAAGAAAAGGCCAGATTAGTGGTCGAGAGGCAGGCAGGAATTGCCATCCTAGTTGTACAATTAGAGAAACCGAGACTTAGAGAAAGAAGATGAGTTGTCCAAGCCCAAAGTCATGTAATAAACAGCAAGCAGTTACATCACTCTTACTATATACCAGGTGCTGTCCTAAGTGTTTTTCATACATTAATCATTAAATCCTGAAAACTGATCATATTATCACCACCCCAGTTTTCAGATGGAGAAACTTGTAGCACAGAGAAGTTCAGTACCCCACCAAGATTGCACAGTTAGCAAGTAGCAGAACCAGAATTCAAACCAGGGAGGTCTAGCTCACCCCGTTAAGGGGTGGTCTGTGTTACACCATTTGTTTGTACAGCAAGCCTGGAACAGGCTGGTATAAAAAGGTAGGTGTCTTTGTCTCCAGCCCTGCTGCCTGAGCTAGGGGCAAGACAGAGAACAAAAGCACATTGACAGCATCCTCAGCTGCCAGCTGGGACTTTCCACCTTGAAGGGAGGATACTGTTATGGAAAAAATGATAAAGCTCTGGGAAGATGGATGTCTCCCCAGGGGCCCCCAAGCTTCCTCAGAGTCCCTCCTCTTGCTGTGGGGAGGGCCACATACTGTGATGGCCTGGGCCAGATGAGACAAAGGCCACCTGGATCCCAAGACACCCAGCCAGGCTGCTCAAATACTGAGGATCATTGGCCTTCGTGGAAAGTTCCAATTTCTCATCCCAGGAATGAAGCTTCTGCTCAGGGACCCCCAAGGAATCAGGTTCGGGCTGGAGCTCCCTGTCCTTGAAGATGGGAAATATACATCTCATAGGGCCCGCTCCCTCCTTTCTTCATTCAGCAAACGTGGACAAGGATGTGGGCTCTGAAGGAAGGTAGAGAATGTAGAGAGGATCACAGCTGGTGGGTACAGGAACTTCCAAGTCCCTGCCCTGGCCACGAAGGGAAAGGGAGGGTAAAAGATGGGTAGAAGTAGTGAAAAAATCACCTACAACTGCTTTGTAATGACTAAGAATCCCTCAGGTCTGTCATGACCATATGACCTTAGGCAAATCAAAATATACAGAGTGAAGGGGTTAGCATAGAATTCTCTATGTAATTGTCTCTGTCTCCAGAATATTTAAATATTGTAGTTCAACAGCTGGAAAAAATATACAAGTTCAGTTTCAATTTGAGCACTGTTCCCTTCTGTTCAGTTCAGGGTTCAGTTAAAAATAATACAAATGATGGGATGGGAGCTCTGGGTGCCGCAATGCATGTGGTTTAACCCAGTTCCATATGGTTCAAGTTCAAGGCTAGGGTGTGTGACTATGTGCATGTGTGCGTTGTGGCTTACATTCCCGTGCATTGTGGATGTGACAATTTATTGGTGGAAAACCACAGGCTTTGGAACTAGAAGAACCCTGTGTTTAATCCCACCTCAAGCACTTGATCTCTTTGTGAGCTGGGTTCTTCTTTCCTTCATTTTGAAATGAGAAGTGATAATTCTTATCCCATAGGATTAAATGAGGTTTTTAGTACTTAAGAAAGAACCACTATTATGCCATTGGTAATTTACTTCCCCTCTCTAGGCCTCAGTTTTCTCATCAGGAAAGTGGGGATATTTAATAGTATTTCTTGGCCAGGCACAGTGGCTCATGCTTGTAATCCCAGCACTTTGGGAGGCCAAGGTGGGCAGATCACCTGAGGTCAGGAGTTCAAGATCAGCCTGGCCAACATGTTGAAACTCCATCTCCATTAAAAAAAAAAAAAAAAAATTGGGCCAGGCGCAGTGGCTCACGCCTGTAATCCCAACACTTTGGGAGGCCAAGGCGGGTGGATCACGAGGTCAGGAGATCGAGACCATCCTGGCTAATATGATGAAGCCCTGTCTCTACCAAAAATACAAAAAATTAGCCGGGCATGGTGGCGGGCGCCTGTAGTCCCAGCTACTTGGGAGGCTGAGGCAGGAGAATGGTGTGAACCTGGGAGGCGGAGCTTGCAGTGAGCTGAGATCACGCCACTGCACTCCAGCCTGGGCAACAGAGCGAGACTCCGTCTCAAAAAAAAAAAAAAAAATTAGCTGGGCATGGTGGCATGTGCCTGTGGTCCCAGCTGCTCAGGAGGCTGAGGCAGGAGAATCACTTGAATCCCAGAGGCAGAGGTTGCAGTGAACCAAGATCATGTCCCTGCACTCCAGCCTGGGCGACAGACCAAGACTCTATCTCAAAAAAAAAAAAAAAAAAAATAGTATTTCTCACTAAGGGTCAATATGAGAATTCGATCAGGTTGGCTATTTCTTAGCATGATGCTTTGCACACAGTAAACACTCAATAAATTGTAATGCATTTCCATGCATTACTTTATACTTTTTCCCACATATGTAGTTTGCTAAGGCAAAGTATTGGATGCTTTTAAACATCATACTATACGTATCCTTCAGCTTTATTATTTTTCACATTCAACATTATATTTATGAGATTCCTTGTGTTGAAATCTGTAACTATAACTATTCTTTTTCATCACTGCACAGTATTTCATTGTATGAACATATAAGATTTATTTATCTTTATTCCTGTTGATGGACTTTTTTCTGCTATAAACAATGCACTATGAACATTGATGTGCCTCTTTGAGCACATATATGAGAGTTTCTCTTTTCATCTTTCCACTCTGCCATCTTCTGGGTCTCAGCTTGCCCTGGGGTAGCTACCCTTAGGGTCCCAATATGGCCACCCCGGTTTCAGACATCAAACATGGACATGACCAAGTCCAGGCAAAGCAAAAAGGTTGTTTCTTCCTCAGCACGTCCCTTTCATCAGCAAGGAAATTCTTCCAGAGCCCTCTAGCAAATGTCCTTCATTTCTCACTAGCCAGAATCTGGTTACATGGCCACCTTCAAACTAATCAGTGGCTTAGGTTAATCAGGGTTTGCATAAAGTACAACATGGCCACACCAAGAAGAAAAGCTAGAGCTGGGTTAACACCCCAAGTGCTCTAGTCAGGCAGTCAAGGGTGCATGCTCTTAGCTTTTCCAGTCTTACAAAACAGTCCAGAGTATGACCATTCCAAATCCAGTCCACTTCAGGGTCTGCCCAACTCTGTGAATGAGGATAGGTGCCTTTTCACAGAATTGTCTGGAATGAAACTTTGGGAGGCCAAAGTGGGCGGATCGCCTGAGGTCAGGAGTTCAAGACCAGCCTGGCCAAGATGGTGAAACCCTGTCTCTACTAAAAATACAAAAAACA